CTGCTCTGCTGGGCCCCTGACAGTTTCCTCTTTGGATGGCCCAGTGGCTGGGAGCTCCTCGACACAAATCCTCAAAGCAGACTGCTCTTAGCAGGGTGTGGTAGCACATGCTTGTAATCCCAGCACTCTGAAGGCCTAATCAGGAGGACCAGGAGGGCAGCTGGAGAGTTCAAGGACAGCCTAGACCACATACGAGACCGTATCTCAAAAAAAAAAGAAAAGAAAAGAAAAAAAAAGCCTGTTTTCTTGGAGATGCTGGTTGTAAGAATATTCTTTCTGTGGGGGAGGGTATTAAGGATTGAAGCCAGGTCTTTGCCTGAGATACATTCCCAGCCACCCCCACCTATTGTGTGACAGATCTCAGTAAATCGCCATGGCTAGGTTTGAACTTGTGACCGTAATGGTTTACAGGCAGGCACCACCATCCTCAGGAGAATATTCTTATTAAACTGAAATTAAACCAGTCACTTCCCAGATCTTCCCTATGGGTACTTTCAAAAAAGGACGTGAACACAACAAAGGGGGCCTGCCCTCTCACCACCCCTCGCTCTCCCTCTCCCTTTCTGGTGTCTTTTTTGGCAACATAATACCACAGACTCTGCTCAGGCCATGAGCACTGTGATTTCTGAGACCTAAGCTCTCAGTGCAGCAAAAGGTACCGATGGTCTTTGGCAGCTGCAGCTCTGCTGTCTGGCTGGTGAGCTTCTTACCTCTTTGGTGAATACTGTTTCTGTCTTCTAATCCCAGGGACGGGGTCCTTAGCCCTGGAGCACCATACAGTGCCCCGGGACATCAGACCTCAGTGGTGAAGAATAAAGAAGGCTAGCAGAGGGCTGGGGATTTAGCTCAGTGGCATTGCTCCTGCCTCTAAAGTGCAAGGTCCTGAGTTCGATCCCTGGTACTGAAGGAAAGAGAGAGAGAGAGAGAGAGAGAGAGAGAGAGAGAGAGAGAGAGAGAAAAGGATACCAGAGAATTGGGAAGGTGTCTTACTCATCTTTGCCTGCTATGATCCTAGGTAAAAGGCACTTAGCATGCACTTGATATATGTGGTCAAGTAAATAGCAATTTCCAGAGAGAGGAGAGAGAGAAGGAAGAGGGGGAGGGGGAGGGGAACGCGTGACGCATGCAAACCCCAGGGCAAGTCTTGTGAATTTGCCTGTGGCAAGCTGATGGGGTGAAAATTCGTGGGCAAAGCAAAGGAGATCGGTGTTATTTCTCCATTGCTGCATAACAAATTATGGGCCGAATCCAGCTGAAAACTGGCTCCCCCATCTGGCAGCAAGGCTGGCAATGCAGAGACCCGAGGCTGATAGGCTCCGCATGTGGTTTCTCCATATGGGAGGGAAAGAGACAGACACAAAACAGAAAGAAAAGACAGTGAATGTGTCTCCTTTTTATGACCTAGCCTCAGAAGTTACACATTTCCCCTGCCATTCTTTTCCTTCTTTTAGTCTTTCTATTCGATTTCCACTCTCAAGTGGAAGAGAACTAGTCCACCTCTCTGTAGCAGGAGGCAAGGCTATAGAAAATCTCTGTGAGGCTGAAAACCCTGGAGTCTTTGGGAAAGAGTCAGCTGTGCCATAACTCTCGGCAGATTTGCCCCAAAGTGAGCTGGGCCCGGGTCCTCCCGGACTAGGATCTAGGATGAGGCATGGAGGACACCTTCATTTCACCTGGAAAATGACTCCCACTCATGGCAGACGCCTAGGCAGACTCCGATTGCACGCATTGCTTATTCTTCCCGTGGGTGGTACGATAGCCCCGGGTTTCCGCCCCGGGCTTCCACACTCACTCGGGGAATCAAAATGAC